TGCGAATTATTGCACCAACTGTTGTCACCTTCTCACCAAGTTGCTTGGCGATAGTTTGGTAGCCCAGTCCAGCCTTGTGTAGGTCTACAATCTTGTCCCTGACATCCTTGGACAGCTCTTTGGCCTTTGCCATGGTGGAGAGTTTGGAATCTGATTGTTTGATTGCTCCTGTGGACAGGTGTCTTTTATACAGGTAACAAAATGAGATTAGCAGCACTCCCTTTAAGAGACTGCTTCTAATCTCAGCTTGTTACCTGTATGAAAGACACCTGGTAGCCAGAAATCCTGCTGAATGATAGCGGATCAAATACTTATTTCCCTCATGAACTTGCAAATCAGTGCATAATTTGTTAGACATGCATTTCTTTTGAATTTTTTTGTTGCTATTCGGTCTCTCAGTGTTATAATACACCTACCATTCGATTTTTAGATTGATCATTTCTTTGTGAGTGGGCAAACATTCAAAATCAGCAGGGGATCAAATACTTATTTCTTTCACTGTATATTTATATATATGGCCCTGTTGCATACCTTGTAAAATTTCACCCCATATTTAGCCTGTTTACTGGGATGTACTGTGTAATGCCCAGCCTTCCGGTGAAGTGGGCAAAGGACTCTTCCATACAAAATATTTTTGTCTGGAGTAAACATATTTGAACATTTTACCCCATATTTGGTCTGTTTACTGGGGATGTACAGTGTAATGCCCAGCCTTCCGGTGAAGTGGGTGAAGGACTCTTCCATACAAATATTTTTGTCGGGAGTAAACATATTTGAGTGGCCGAATTTTGAACAGCTTGTTGTAATTAGCATGATTTTGAGGAGGGCAGTGAGTGTTATCATTTAAGTGTAAAAACCTCATTATCATCTCATAGCGTGTTCTGGGCATACAGGAAGAATAGACTGGCATATGAGGTATGGATTAAATGGATGAGTAGGCATGGACTTCATTTTTTTTTTTTTGTCAGTCCCATATTCAGTGTACACATACCTGTTGTGCTATGGAACATTTTACTCCTCGTTCTCAATAAAGATATAATTTACTATCCACTTTGTTGCCGATATTCATTCACAAACACCATATTCAATGTTAGTGCATGAAAAACTTTAAATTCCTCCACAGTGACAGCTTTCCACACAAATGGGTGGGCATACGATGAATTGGGATTCTGCACTACTCTTGTCTGTCATACTCAGTATCTGGAATGCCTCCTTGGTGGTGTATTTTTTAGACATAAATTTGGATGTTAATTACTGCACTGCTGATATTATGACAGATGTTGATGCTGCACTGCTGATATGACAGATGTTGATGCTGCACTGGGACACTTTGACAGATGTTGATGGTGCACTGTGACACTGACAGATGTTGACGGTTCACTATAGACACCGACAGATGTTGGTGTTGCAACTGGACACTATTGCAGATGTGCACTCGGACACTGTGACAGATGTTGATGGGACACTGGGTTCACTGTGACAGATATTGATGGTCCTCTGGGACACTGACAGATGTTGATTGTGCACTAGGACACTATAACAGATGTCTATGATACACTGGGACACTATGGCAGATGTTGATGCACTAGGACACAGACAGGTGTTGATGATCCACTACGGATACCAACAGATGTTGATGGTCCACAACAGACATCGACATCTTGATGTTGCAGTGGGACACTATTGCAGGTGCACGCTGGGACACTGTGACAGATGTTGATGAGACACTGGGCACACTGACAGATGTTGATGGTCCATTGGGGCACTGACAGATGTTGATAGTCCACTGAGACACTGATGGATGTTTGTGCAATAGGACACTATAACAGTAGTTATGATCCACTGGGACACTATGGCAGATGTTGGTGGTGCACTAGAACACTGTGATAGATGTTGATGGTGCACTGTGACACTGACAGATATTGACGGTCCACTACAGACACCGACAGATGTTGATGTAATTATTATTATTATTATTATACAGTATTTATAAAGCGCCAATAGTTCGCTCAGTGCTGTACATTACAGAGGGGGACAGAACATGTGACAGAACAATACCAATACAATGCAAAACATGAGGGGGTTGAGGGCCCTGCTCTTTCGAGCTTACAATCTAGGAGGGAGGGGATGGGACACTATTGCAGATGTCGTACACTGCACACTGTATCAGATGTTGATAGGACACTGGTACACTGAGACAAATGTTGACTGGACACTGGTACACTGTGACAGATGTTGCAGGTGATAATGGGACACTGTGGCAGATGTTGATGAGACACTGTGACAGATGTTGGTGCACAGTGGGGACACTGGCTGGGTGATCAGTGTGTTTAAAAGTAGTTAATATGCTGTAAAACTCACTGATCCCCGGCTGGCAGGCACAGATCGGCTCTCCTTCTCCTCACTCTGGCACTGTGTGAGGAGAAACAGAGTCGATCAAGTATACACCAATCTGTGGTTACATTACATGATGGCTGTGATTGGACACAGCCATCATGTGGTCAAACAGGCCAATCACAGGGCCCAGCTCCCGATCGGGGATGTGCTCTGTCCAAGGGACACAGGCACCCTGGGAACGCGCAGCTGTGCAGCCACGTTTTGAGAGGTACGTCTGCTCAGAATTGTCCCACCTGGCCTTTTATATGCAGTCACTGGGTGGAAAGCGGTTAAAAAACAACTTGGTGTTATACTTGATTAAAAGTATAAATTGTATTACATAATTTATCTTGTTTAGAATGGTGCTAAAATTATGTTTCTGGGACAAAGCACTGCAAATATATTTATGAATGGCCTTTTTTTCACTTGCTCATTTTTGTTAATGTAGCACTAAAAATATTACAAAAGAAATTTCAAAACTTAAAATATTAATGACTTAATATAAATAATACAAAGAGAAAAAAAATTAGCTAAGGGGAGAAAGGAAAAGGAGCTAGTTAGGGCTGATTAGGGTTAACTATAGGTTAATAAGGTCTTCGATAGGAACAAAAAAAAGAAGGTTGCCTTAACTGACATCACATGCAGATGGAAGATCACCCCCTTGATCTGCAAATTAATGAAACACAAACATACTTGGGCTGTCCTTTCCGAGCTCTGTGCCATAGCCGTGACTCCTGCCTGCTTGCATGGGAGTCACAGCCACAGCACAGAGCTCGGAAAGGATGGCATGAGTATGCCGTCCCTTCAGAGCACATGCACCAGTGACATCACCAGTTGCTTACTGGAATATCTCTTAAACGGTGCACGTTTAGGAGATATTCATTTTACCTACAGGTAAGCTTTATTATAAGCTTCCCTGTAGGTAAAAGTAGAAAAAAAGAGTTCACTTCCACTTTAACTATTTAAAAGGTCCACTGAGTCCTCTCTACGAAATAGCAATCACATCCGCAGTGCTCAAATCCTGAACTCAAAATTGCAAATCATAACTGCAGCCTGTCAGCCTCCATCCCTGCCTGCTGGCCTGCCCACCACCTGTTAGACTTCAGTTTTCTTAGATGTGCCAGGTCTAGTACTGGCATCTCCCTGCATGGCCAGCCCACCAGCTCCAGCATCCTTAGATCTGCTGGGTCTAGTCCCGCATTTCCTGCATCCACTGTCGGCTTCCGTCCCCACCTTCTGGTCCGCCCACCACTTAACAGACCGATAGAACAAAGCCTAGGGGAGTGCTACAGGTGATGGGCAGGGAGGTGGGGACAGAAGCTGACAGTGTGTGCAGGAAATGTGGGATTAGACCTGGCAGATCTAAGGATACTGAATGCTTACATGTGGTGGGCGGTGTAGCAATCGTACCCACAGAGATGGAGGCGGTTCAACCATTTTGTTCCAACCTCCATCTTGGCAAAGGATCGTCCATCTTGTACAAATATATCTTTCCTCATCCCCCTCCCTCTCTGCTCATCTACAGTACATGTGGCCTGTGTGTTGGCAAAGGTCACAGGCAGCCAAAGCAGCTATAAAAACCCCCAATGAGCTGGGTGCCGGGCTGTCTGAGAAACTGTGCAATCTGGCATATCGTAAAAGTATTACCCAAGCCTTCCCCTGAATTCAAAGACATTCCAGAGGAGTAATAAACTAGATACCACTTTTAAAATCCATTTTTACCCTATGTCTCATGTAATGGAAGCGTAGGTAGGACAGAGCACACGGAGAAGATGGGGAACACACTAAGCTTTATTGAAACAACAAAATGACAGACACTCAATGGGAAAATGGCAGGGAGGGTGATGTGTGCATAAACTAGGGACGATTCCAGGCACGGGGGGTCTTCGGCGACAGGCAGACAATCTCCCCCCTAGGCTTGGCCTCAGCCGAGCTCCCTCCGTGACTGGACAGCAGATTGGAGACTCGGGCAACAGGCGGGCAATCTCCCCCCTAGGCTTGGGGCCTCAGCCGAGCTCCCTCCGTGACTGGACAGCGGATTGGAGACTCGGGTAACAGGCGGGCAATCTCCCCCTAGGCTTGGGGCCTCAGCCGAGCTCCCTCCGTGACTGGACAGCACATTGGAGTCTCAGGCAACAGGCGGGCAACCTACCCCTGGGCAGGGGTCTCGGGCAACAGGCAGGCAATCTCCCCCCTAGGCTTGGGGCCTCAGCCGAGCTCCCTCCGTGACTGGACAGCAGATTGGAGTATCGGGCAACAGGCGGGCAACCTACCCCTGGGCAGGGGTCTCGGGCAACAGGCAGGTAATCTCCCCCCTTGGCTTGGGGCCACAGCCAAGCTCCCTCCATGACTGGACAGCGGATTAGAGACTCGGGCAACAGGCGAGCAACCTACCCCTGGGCAGGGGTCTCAGGGACTCAACGGGACTCTAGCTGTGGAGTCTGGCCTAGCACAGCTCCCACCCAGCTTTCTAGGGACATCGGGTTCACAGGGGACTCAACTGGTAGCGATGGCTCAAGCACTCAGGGGCATCACAGGTAGCTATACTCCGGGCACGCCATTGGGCGGTTCAAGTAGTCTAGGCATGTAGTAGGGCAGTGCATAACCCAGGTGGCCTATGCGCACAACAGGGCCAGCTCAGGACACGGGTGGTCAGTGCACACAGCAGGGACAGTTCAAAACACGGGTGGTCGGTCACACAGCAGGGACAGTTCAGAACACGGGTGTTCGGTGCACACAGCCAGGGACAGTTCAAGTAACAGGGTGTCAGTGCATAACACAGGTGGTCTGGCACAGGGCCAGCTCAGGACACGGGTGGTCGGAGCACACAGCGGGACAGTTCAGAACACGGGTGGTCGGTGCACACAGCGGGGCAGTTCAGAACACGGGTGGGGGTGCACACAGTGGGGACAGTTCAGAACACGGGTGGTCGGTGCACACAGTGGGGACGTTCAGAACACGGGTGGTCGGTGCACACAACGGGGACAGTTCAGAACACGGGTGGCCGGTGCACACAGCGGGGACAGTTCAGAACACGGGTGGTTGGTGCACACAGCGGGGACAGTTCAGAACACGGGTGGTCGGTGCACACAGTGGGGACAGTTCAGAACACGGGTGGTCGGTGCACACAGCGAGGACAGTTCAGAACACGGGTGGTCGGTGCACACAACGAGGGCAGTTCAGAACACGGGTGGTCGGTGCACACAGCGAGGGCAGTTCAGAACACGGGTGTTCGGTGCACACAGCGGGGACAGTTCAGAACATGGGTGTTCGGTGCACACAGCGGGAACAGTTCAGAACACAGGTGGTCTGTGCGCACAACAGGGACAGTTCAGGACACGGGTAGTCTGTGCGCACAACAGGGACAGTTCTGGACACTCACGGTAAGCGGCTTGCAGACCCTCAGCGGCAGGCAGCTCCAGACAGGGACGACCAGCGGTCAGCGTTCCAGGGACGACCAGCGATCAGCAGACAGCTTCCAGGGATGCGCAGCCACGGACAGCGTGCGGGGTCCCTCAGCAGCAGCTCTCAGGGCACTCAGCAGCAGACAGGGTGCAGGAGTGCTCAGTAGACAGGCTGGCAGGGTCTGAGCTGTGGGGTCTGACCCTTGCGAAGGGGCTCATGCAGAGCTGCGGAGACTCCCACCCTGGGACATTCAGCGGGGGGCAGCGGGTACTCCCAACCCTGGCTCACCGGAGCCTCCCAGCGTCTTTTCAGGAGCAAGATGATTCCAGCAGAATGGACAGGAACAAAGAGAGGAGGGCTGCTTCCTGTGCGAGTCTTTTAAAAACCATGTGGGACGCAGCTAGGTTGCCTCGGCAATGGCCGGCCCAGCACTGTCCATGGCAGCTCCACGGACATCGGAATGTGCAAGGGGGAAGGGAGGGGTGGAGGGATATGGCAGGGGATGGGAGAGGCAATGGCAGTCCGTGACATCTCATATCTTGGAATATGAGAGACTTACATAAAAACCAGGCATATCTTCAGATTGGTCACGATAAGACAAACCGTTTGATATGTCACACTCCTTGGCTGGAATATATAGGAAAGCAATAAATTACATCTCTTGAACCATTCAATTATGTATTTCATATTTCATATCTAACCGTTCCACAGATGCGTCTGCATATTAATCTACCCACGGGTAGAATGTTACTTGTACCTTGGAAAAGTTATGAGCCAAAATATAAGCTACGAGAGATTTTAGTTCTAGCTTGGGTCTTCGCCTAGACCAGGGGTAGGCAACCTGAGAGCCGCAGGACTACAAGTTCCATCATGCCTCTGCAAGTCATAGCTGTAACTGTCAGTTTTGTCATCTTTGCAATGCCTCATGGGAAATGTAGTTCCACAACAGCCAGAGAGCCGCAGGTTGCCTACCCCTGGCCTAGACACTCCCTCCCCAATTGAGGCCATTGGTCCTTGGCTTTAGAGACACCCCCTGCTGGGGGACTTCAAAATAGGCTGTCAGACCTAAGAGAGCGTGGAAGAATTCTCTCTTTTAACATCAGAACCAATTTGGGAGACGGTACCCTTTTGCTCTGAAACTTGGTCTGCTTAACCCAAGGCTGATTGGCAAGTACTTTAACACTTTAACCTCCTTTCTGTTATCTCTTTGCTGTGCTATTGTTCTCTGTATATTTATATATATATTGGCTACATCCTTTTTTATGTAAATAATTTTATTGCACCCTTTTGACCTTTTAGTAATAAATTTTACTTTCTGAAAGTGTTGAACTGTTTCTAAAGCTCTTTAATGCAACTTACGAATTCCTGAAGCTGAAGAGCGCTACTATGTGTGTTTAACCCTCTGTATAACCTGGTATGCAGACAATTATCCAATCATCATAGTGTATTGCTGATATTGCCGAGTTTCCTCTTTCACTGTACAAAAAGGAGGTAGTGGCAATGTGAAGGGTTAATTGCGTAATTAACCTGACCCAGTAACAATCACGCTCAGGCTGCCGGTTCATCGATTGTGGTCCATTCGCTGGAAAATCGTTGTGCAGGGGGCAGCTGGGCATGACATTGTTACGAACGTGACATCGCGGTTTTAGATTGGCTAGTCCTTTGGTCATGAGTTTGGTGAGAAGGGCAGGGGTCCGACGCCGCGATCGTCACAGGCGGGCAGGCAAGTGGGGACACAAGCTGACAGATAATACAGGAAATACCGGGACTAGACCCGGCATAACTAAGGATACTTAAGCCTTCCAGGTGGTTAGAGGACGGGCCGCTGGAAGGGACAGAAGCCAACAGCTTTGGCTGTGTCACTGTGATTCAAGAGGAGCCGAAGCTTCAAATGCGCCCCCTTCAACACTGAGCCCAGAGCAGGTGTCCCTTTGCCCCCCCCTCCCACTTGCCCCCCCAGCCCTGTATAGGGATACTCCCCCATTCCCTGGGCCAAACCCCCTAAGACTCCTCAAACAAAGTTAACTGTAGTTGTCAACAATTTGTTTTATCAATAGTTCTACACTTAAAGTGATTCTAAAGGCTATAGTTTTTCTCTCTCTCCCCTAAGAGAAAGCAGCAGCAGCCATTGGCTCCTGTTGCTGTCTATTAAATCCTGTGAAGAGGGAGCAGGGGGCGGTGTTGAGCTAAGCTCTTTGTGTTAATGGACACACATAGCCCAACTGAGAAGCAAGCCTGCATGTTTGCCCCCATAGCAAATGCTTGCTATGGGGGTAGACACAGAAGAGGACAGACCCAGAGCTCTGGTGGGAAATCCCAAAAGGGGAGGTTTGGGGATGATCTGTGCAATATAATGATATAATGATGCATAGAGTAGGTAAGTATAGCATGTTATTTTATTTTTAATTTTTTTTTTAAATAGCATTTACAATAACTTTAATCGCAAACCTTTAGCTTTCACGTGACATTGCTGGGGCCTGATGACTGCCTTCTCAGGTTTCAAGAACTGCATTGTAGTTGCTCCATACCCACAAATACTGAGATTTTTGCAGCACTTTTTCCTTCTGTAGTAGATTAAATTACATAAAACCTTGTATTACAGGTAAATATACAATAAATACACTGAAGCTCACAAAATGTATTGGATGCTCCACATTAAAATAAACACAAACTGCAGCATCTGGCTACATTTGACACATTAGCCCAAGTCATTGGTATTGCTCCCCTTGGAGTGAGACAGTACCATGGGTTTAACAAATGTACTGAAGGCAGAAAGCCCTTAGACCTCAGTAATTTTCTGGGCCAGCATGTAAAGTGTCTCTGGATGAAAATAAACTTTAGATCAGGGTAGTTGTCACTGCATATATTTTCCTTTCAGCAGCCCATTTCCAGACCTCTGTTATTTCCATCCTCCAGTAATCAGGGACTTTAAATCTTGTGGCTTTTGTTTGATGGAGCTACATCCGTGGTTAATGTTCATTGGCTTTGCCAGCATATAGCTATTACAAGTACCTTGGCCTGACAATTAACAGAAATGAATAGCAGGCAGAAAATGTGATGAAATGTGTTGGTTAGGACACGAGCAAGAGAGTGGCATTCTGCATGTAGTCCGTTATGTGGGCTGTTAAATGCGCACAATATACAGCTGCAGGGGAGCAGACAGGAGCCAGAAAATGAAGCATCTGCTTAGCTACAGCATGTTTTTCCCCCTTTTTAACATAATTTATTACTAATCACTACTTTTAGCTTCATGAACAATAACTTCTCTTTTGTGATGCTTGTTTGATGAAATTATGCGTTGATTCACACAGGAATGCTTGCAGTGTTTTTTTATTGAAAAATCTGTATTTTCTAATGTGAACTGAATTTTATTACAGACTTCCCCTGTTCAAATACACATGGATATATTTTGGTGAAAGGTTGCCTTTTTTGAGACTGGGAAATTTTAATTTTATGAAAAGAGTTTGATTTGTTGTAAGACTTACAACAAATCAAACTCTTTTAATAAAATTAAAATTTCCCAGTCTCAAAAAAGGCAACCTTTCACCAAAATATATCCATGTGTAGTCTGCTTGCCATTCTGTGAAAATGGATGTTGTCCCAAATACACGTAAAATGAAAAAGTGACAGCAGGTTGGATCACAGTAGGTCAAGAATCTGTCCATTGTCTTTAAAGGATAACTATACATTTAGCACAACTCTGTCACTCCTGAAAAAAAAACTGGCAGTAATTCTATATCTCTTTTCTTATTTCTGGTGAGTGACTTAGAACGTAGTGAAACCAGAGCATGACAACCAGAGCTCCAAAATGAGGAGTCAACAATGGCTTCCTATGTATCATGTCAGGCATGCTTAAAAGTGACATGAGATCTCCTGAACCCAGGCATACTCATCAGGCAAAAAGCAACTTTCATCACTTAGTGTTACTAAACCCACAATAGTAAAATCAGTCTGTACTGTATATGCAGAAAAGTATGCTTGCCATACTTACTGTGGAACCTAAGGAGTTAATCCTCCACATTGTGTAAAAATGCTGTTTGATCCTGTTTTCTCTGATCCTCCCCTTCTTCCAGTGTCCCCTTTTTATCTCCTGATAAGACATCTAGTGTAGAGTCACTCTGCACATGCACAGTTTGGTGTGTATTGCTAGATAGGGTTTTTTTTTTCTTGGGAGAATGCATGTGATCAGCACAGGGCCAATCAGCACTGTCCAGACAGAGGCCAGAGGTCCTGCATCCTCCTAGAGCAGAAATAAAACTCCTCCTACAAGCTTTAACCAGTGCTCAGCTGGACACTGATAGAAGTCACAAGACTGCTGTATATTGCTCATGAGAAACGGTATTTAGCAGTTTATACTTACTACAATAATTGAATTTCCATGTTCTGTGTACTGTGGGAGACCAGATATAGTGAATGCTGGGTCCTGGGTTTAATAACACTCTAATTGGAGCTTGGTCAGGCTTTTATAAATAAGGAATGAAATATCATGATGTTTTGCATCGTAGTTACATAAGAGTTGTATACATACTGTATACACCATACACTCAGGAATTTAGTCCATTTTATTCCATTTGGATTTGCTTGTCAGTTGTCATTTTTAAACCAAATGGACCACGATTCTGTCCTGCCTCCTTAGTAGATTTTTCTTAACCAACATGGACTCTTTTAACAAAGGCTGACAGATTGTACAGTGACAGCCCAAATGACAGCTTGTGCAGAATGACTGGTCTCCCTGCCATTTAGAGATCATGATCTAAGTAATAAATGCTTCCCTCTCCTATCTGTGTTCCTTGGCCTTGCTCACTCTGCCTCTACATTAGTGCCAGAGCAGCATCAGGTAATCAATGAAGAGAGCAGCAGTGAACAGAAGGCAAGGTTAGCTTTAACTGGAAACTTAAATATTGAGATCTGATAGTGCTATATCAAATTTAGCTCTGTATTTTTAGTCACTGGATTCTCAGGAAAAATGT